GCAAAAGATTCTATGACTAGCTGCAAAAGTCAGAAGGTGGTTGTACTTTAGAGCTCTCCTGATGAAACAGATTAGAAATCACAACTCCATCAATGCAGTGCTTTGCAGAAAGGATCCCACTCACGGTGTTTCTCAGAGCAGTTTCCAGTCACACCAGAAACATCCATCCCAAAGAACTCTTTATCTGGCAGCATTTGGTTCAGATGAGGGATTTAAGGCAGATCCCCATGGCTCTGTGGAAACATCCTGGCCCTCAGGCCACTGACAGTGGCTGCCCCCAGGCCACTGACAGTGGCTGCCCCCAGGCCATGGCAGCTTTCTCAAGTCTTGGCTTCTTTCTACACCAGAGCAGAAAAGCACTGAAACCCTGGAACCTTTTCCCTTATGGACTCTTCATAAAAATCTATTTTAAATGCCTTAAAGAAAAAAATTAATATAGTTATTTCTAAATAATAGGGTAGCTACTTAAAAAATAGGGAAGGCAGAAGACTTCCCACTTCCCTTCCATTACTCCATTGTACAGTCAGGTTGGCACATCCCAGCCCCAGCTCCAGTCTCCTCACTGGCTCCTTGGTGCTGCTTTTATGACCTGCCACAACTGCACATCATCAGCCTGCAGCAGAAAGCCACACACTGATCCCTTCCCAAGCTTACACCACCAACTTCAAACACCCTTAATAAATCAATTTGAAAAATCAGACTTCTCTGCCTAGTAAGGAAATTTTTACATTCCTCAACATGAAGCTCTACTGGGAGCAGAGAACAGTAGCAAATCTTTTCCTTTTTCTAAGGAGGGGCAGTTTAACTAATGAAAAGGTAGCTGGGAGCTCAGGAGGAAAATTCACACATCTTGCTCTTATTCCAGGGATTTAAGCAGGGCAATGGCTATCTACTAATCAAAGCCAAAGTGGCACTTCCCTGGTGCAGTGCTCTGCCAGAGCAGTGTTTGAAGACCTGAGCAGTGGGTGGCACAGACAGATCTGCTCCACGCAGGGAGGGAAGGAGGGACCCAGAGCTGCCAGGGCTGAGCTGCAGCACAAACGAGCTGTTTCTGTGGGTTTTCAGCCCCAAGGGTCAGGCACAAGCCAAAGCACAGTGGCTGCACGCTGGGCCCGGGCACAGGAGGAGGCAGGAGCAGGGAGAGGCTGCCTGGACTGGGGTAGAGCCCAGAGGAACCACCATCTCCCCTGGACAGGCCAGCACGGGTCCCTGTGGCCACACAGGAGTTGCTGTGGGACCAGCACCCGCCTGCAGCTCTCTCCAGCCCGGGCAGTCCGGAACACCTGCTGCACAGGCATCCCAGGAAGGAGCTCTGCCCTTCCGAACCGGCACACCAACGGCTGTGCTAGCACACCAGAGGAATGCAAGGAGACTGCAGCCAGATCTTCCCTCTCCTCTCCCTGGTAAGCCATTAACCTTTCGGATGACAGCCTCACAAACCAAATGACTGAATGACTCTCAGGGTCAGTGCAAATCTACATTTTCAAAACCTGACATCTACAAATAAAAGTTGTGACTGAATCCCAAGTCTCTCCAAGGGGGAGATTAAACACCTGTGATGCATCATCTGCAATCAGAGTGCTCCATTTCCCAAAGTATCCATCACAGATTGGTAACATCCATGCAAAAAGTTAAGTGCAATTATGTCTGTCACTGTAAAACACACTCTGGTAGCACTGGCTGACATCTTGCTTGCAGCTGACAAACTGTGAGCGGGCTGTTTGAGTGACAGTGGCAGAGGCTCCTGAAGGAATGTGCTCCCAAGCCACAGAAGCCACCCAGTGCTCAGAGCACCACAGCTGGGATGAAGCCACTGCACAGGCAGCTGCAAGGCAAAACTGCTTGAGGTTGCTCCCAAAATGTTGGACCTGGACTTGAAGAGGAGAACATCACCCACGAATCCTGCTCCAGCCTACTCCAACAGAGCCTGAGGTATGGCAGGGCTGAGGCCAGAGACACTGCTCAAACACTTGTGACACGTGCTGTTCTTCAAGTCCCCCCCCATGCACTGACAACCTTCAACGCACAGGCTGGGTGAAGCAACAGTGTGCCAAGGGCCAGGTGAGTCAGCTGTTACCAGCACCTCTTCTGGGGGAGGATTACCCTCCTGCTCCCCAAAGCGATGCTCCCACACAGCACAAGCCTCGTGCACAGAGCAGAGGTACCAAGGGAAGTTACTCCAACTCCCTTGTGTGACTCGAGCCTACAAAAGCCACCCTTCAGCAGCAGGACAGGAAACTGCAAGTGCATTTCTCCAGGCTGCCATTAGTGCCAAGAAGCTGTTGCAGGATTTGGAGAGAAAAGAAGGAAAGCAGCTTGATGCCTGCACAATGGCATGGCTGTGCTCCACAGCACAGCATGCCACCCTCACCAGGATGTGCCAGGGCTGCCCTCAGAGGCCATTGAGCCAGGTGCCCGCAGTAGAAAACACCAAGGAGAAGAAGTGGCTGAAAAATACCACATGCAGTCCTGCACGACTCTCAAACAAAGCCTCTCCTTGTGCAGCCCTGACTGTGAGCCATAACCCCGTGACAGGAGCAGCAGAAGCAGCACTGCTGACGTGCAGCAAGCTGTGCAGGTCACACCTGTGACACATGACCATACTCTGATGTGCCACCATCCACCGCCATCAGCACCTTACACCACAGATCAGAGGGGCTGGTGCAGAAATAAACACCTCCCACAGTAAAAAGTTCTTCCATGTTGGAAGGTTATGTTGTGCAGAACACTGGTGTGTTTTACTGGTTTAGCTTATATGCAGCATTACCAATTGTTCTGAAGCACCCAGGCATACCATCTTAATTTAGAATAATTCTATAATGCCAGACAGCAACTGAGGAAAGCAGCTGAGATGTTACCATCCCAACATCAGACTCTCCACAGCACTCCATGTGGCACTGCTCACCAGTTCTCCCTCAGCACTGAGGCAGCTTCAGAACAACTCACTGCTGTTCCTGTCAGGATATATCCACATGGAATAAAACAGCAAACTGGCTGCCAGTGTCAGCTCCTCTCTCTACGGTGAGGTAAAAATAAGAGGTTACTTCTGACTACAATCTTTCTCAAACACTGTGTTGAGCAACTCACCACATTGCTGATAAAGTATTAAAAGAGGCTTTCAGTAGTCTGTGTTCCCTGTAATAATGAAATATTTGCAGGATGCACCTTTATATACATTTATATTTCTTAAAAAATATATTGGATAATAAATAATCAGAGTAAAAAAACCAGACATGAAAGATGCTTTGAATGATCAGGCTGGTGGTGTAAAAGTTACCTGTAAATCACACACAGGGTGTGAGAGTGGAGCTGGCTACAGACAGGTGGGTTTTACTAGGAAGCATTAATGTAACATTCAATTATTCCACTGCACACTGGCTGGTTTAACTCAGCCAAATTAGAATACATTTTATATTGACTATTTTGACATTTGCTTTATTTGGCAAGTAAAACAAAACTGATCCAATTTCCTTGGAGCCATTGTAAACCATAAACTGTACAACAAGAGGTTATAAAATATATAAGCCTTGTAAACACTTCAGACTGTCACTGATGCTCTGAGCTCTAATTTTGGCCCTGTTTCCAACAGCTCTGACACTGTTCTGTAGCCTTCCCTGCTCAGCCATAGTGACCCTTCTGCACTCAGTGATTAAGCACTGCCATTGACATTCTCTCACTATGTTAATTTTTTTTTTATTGTGGAAATCTGCCCAGACAGGAATTTCTTGCGGACAGAAAAAGAAGATCTATGCTTTAAAATCAAGACATCTTTCTGATCTCACATGGCCTGGGCTGGCCTCTAGCTTGTGTCCAGCAGAACTTCAGAAAAATGTCTCAAGTGTACACACCTGCCTTAAAAAGACATCTGATACCTTTTTGGGGAGCATTTTACAGCAGTTTAAAAGCATAACTCTGAAATGATCTGTAAATCAAGACTCCAAAGGACATGAGCAATTTCCACCCATGTGATACAGTGACCTTTGTACACAATAACCTTTGATTCCCCTGGAATTTCTCTCCCCTGTCTCTTCCGAAATTCTAGCTCTCAACGGTTCCTGTAATACTCTAAAGGTACCTGTAGTGCACCAAATGCCCAGTGCAAAAATACATATTCGTCTAACGAGGTAAAAGCCCAAAGGGACCGTGGAGAACACACTGTCCCCAGCAATGGCCTGGCCCCACTCAGTCCATGAGCCTCTGCAGCAGGACCCTGATTCACTGGGTGCTGTGCTTTCACAGCGAATGAATGCCAGGAGTGCAAAGTGCTCAGTTTAACCTCTGTCTGGGATGGTTTGTGGCTCAACACCACTCGGTTTTGCCTGGAGAAATCCAGCAAGTAAGCTGTCAATACAAGACTATTGACAAATATACACACCAGCACATTCGTTCATGCACACACACAAACACTGTCCATAACACAGGGAGAACAGCCCGGACAGAACCGTGCCAGCCCCTGCCCAGCAGTGCTGCTCCCAGCAGTCACCACGAGATGAGCGGGGCTCGTGCCAGCTGCACGACTGGAGATCAGCAGTCGGGTCCAAGAAAACAAAAATCCAAGAGTCAGTACTTCAAACCACGAGTGGACTGATCTGGAGATGTGCAAAACTTGTTTCCCTAATAAAGTCTGTGTGAATGCTTCTCCCTCCCTCTGCTCAAGGAGAGCAATCGGCCTGGCTGGAGCTCTGGCCCACTCTCACAGGCCAGCCCACAGGTACATGTTGGAAACCACAACATCCTGCATAGTTTGAAGCAAAGGAAAGGTGCAGTTTGCTGTTTCCCTTCCTCTGCACACTTTTTTTTTATTCTAGCTTCATGTGTCTTTACACAATGAGAGACAAAGGAACTTCCAGCAGGCAAATACTTCAGCAACAGCACATTCCCTCATCGTGCCACAATCATTCCATAAGAATGCAGTACCCTGGTCTTGGTTTCTCAGGCAAGGTTAGTAACCACACACCACGCAGCATCAAGCAGAAATGGCTGGAATGCAGAAAACCTACCTGGGCAGGTTGGGAGCAGGGGTCGAAGCCGGTGCTGGGGCAGGAGGAGCCGCAGGCTGAGCGGGGTCGTGGTTGCGTGGCACTCTGCCCATCCGGTACCAAATGCCCATGCTGTTCAGCTCCCTGGGGAATCAGCACAGAAGGCATCAGTGCTACAAACAAATGCTGCACATATGCATGAGCATCAAGCACTGACATGTTTCACAAACACCTTAGTCAGTGAGAGCCAGTCTAACTGAAAAAAAGAGAATGAATTAATTCCTACATTAAACCCAGCAACACTTGTACTTACTTGGACTTTTCTAATGACAAGTTTCAGCTCTTACAAACTACTACTCAGTAACTACAGGAACACAGGGTGTGTTGCCTTGGTACAACTGAATTTACAACAACAGCTTTGGAGTGAGGGTTACTTACCCTATGAATGTGTACTGAGGAGGGGCCTGTTTAGATCTTCCCAGGATTCGGATATCACAGATGGCTGCCTCTGTAGAATCTCGAGGGATGAATTTAATGCACAGTCTCTTCTTTCTGAAAGCTATTTCTTCTGGAAAAACAATGCAGAACACAGGGTGTGTTTTATGCAAGATTAGGGTATAATGTTATTTATTGTCTCTCCACATATTAGGCAGATAATCATGGCAAGAACTGGTGCCAATGAACAGACATGTCAGCAAACCAGTCAGTGCAGTGCCATTCAGTGAGGAATGTTTCATCAAGCACCACAATAACCAGATCTCCTCCTGCCCTCCGCAGAGATCAGCCCCCATGTGTGCCCAGTGCTGCCACACAGTGCCGAATGGAGGTGACTCTGCCAGTGCCACATACCTCCCGCACTCCCCTGCTCCTTCCCAGGTAATGTGTGCCTCACTGGCCTGGACAGATGTATCTATACATTTCTCTCACAAGCATCGACTCTAGGAATGTACCTGGAAGCACAGCTGGTCAGTTCATTCTGCCAATTGCTTCCAACCAGTCACCTCCACCAAGAGGAGGGGCAGGCAGAGCCCACCGTGCAGAGAGGTCGAGGGTGAGAGCTGTCTGCCCAAACCTCACACATCCCAAGTGTTAGTGACATCTCCTGATGCAGTCAGCAGGCATGGAAATGATACTCCCACAGTGTTTGCCCTGGTTCTTCATAGGGACAAACCAGATTCACAAAGCAAAACTGCCAAGACCTCCAACGAGGCAGCTGTGCTGCTCTGACCTGTGCTCTGGGGGTGAACCTGCTGCACAGCCCTTTCTGTTACGTGTCACAGAGCAATTCCACTTGCTTCCATGTTATCCAGCACGTAAAACTCAAGCCCATCAAAGTTAAGGCTTATCTGTATAATGAATTCACATATCTGCAGGTTGTCTGTCTGCATGCAGACACAATGCACAGCCAGCTCTGGGGCAGTCTGTGACCACAGGTGGCACTGGCACACAGAGACAGATTCACAGTGCTTGGAAACCACTGCTCCATCTCACCCTAAGGAGGCTCAGGGTGACCAAAATGAGGTTCCTGTTTGGATGCAGGCACTTGGAAGGCAGGACACAAGTCTACTGATAAACTGAAAATCTAAAGAGCAGATGCTGAATGAAAATCTGAAAACAACCAGCAACTACAAACAAGTGCCTGCAAAATAAAAACCCTTCAGCTTAATATGAATGAATATCTTCCAACTTAAAATAATACTCTCACTTCAACAGATGGCAAGCAGCCCCATCTCTGTAGGCTCCTCCTGTTTCGTAATCCACACCTTGGGAGAACAGCAATCCATCCCAGCCTCTGGAATGTGCTGCTGCACCAGCATCACCAACCGTACAGACAGTGTGAGGTGTGCCAATACAGCATCTGTGCATGCAGCTTGCAGTTACAGCGCTGCTTTTAGAGATGGTAAATACCTGCATCCCTGAAGTTTAGTTCTTACCCTGATTTGAAAAACTAGGGCATCTGTTTGAAGTGCCTAAAACTGATTTTAGGAGCCTAGGGCTTAAGGCTCCCGCACCTGAAAATTTTCTCAGGACCTAGTAAGGAGTTCTGTATTAAATATATTTACTGCAAGTCAGTTGCCACTTTGAGAGGAACACAGAGACACCTGTAACTTCAAATCTAACTCTGAACAAAATCAGTGCCTCTTATTTGACTTTCTCTGCAAGTACAAAGCTGAGTATTTGCTTTTGTCTGTGGTCTCTTTCACACTTGGCTGGAGTCTGCAGTCTCCAGCAAGTGTGGTTTAGGAGCTGGATTCAGTAGTTACACATGCTTAGCCAGAGTTAATTTTAAGTAAACCTATTATAAGCAGTCAATCGAAGTGTGTTCATTCATGCCAACAGAGGCAGAGATATGCACTGCTTCCTTAGTACAGGCAGTGCCTCTGCTTTACAGACTGTGGGGTGACAACCCAATGCATTTCAAATTAGTAACAAAGCCCCCTTGCACCCTTCCACCAGGACTTTCACAGAAACTGCAGCAGCAGGCAGTAAGGCCCAGCACCCCCAATGGCAAGCAGGATAAGCCAATAACTCCACCTCACACCACATGTGCCCAGGAATCCTCAAGGGGCAGGGAGTGATCCAGGGGAATGGGGAATGGGCTGCAGAGCCTTTTGCTTCCAGGTGACAGGTTCCAATCAGAATCAGACTGCAGCAACTAAAAAACCATCTTCACATGCTGCAGCTCCAGATTCCCTGCAAAGCAGGCTCATGTAACCCCTTTCTGCTCATTCCTAGGCTGGATTTCATCACTGACACACACTAGGACAGCCCTGCTGTGATCAGCAGCTGCACACTGAGCACCAGCGCTGGTGTCCTGCCATCCCCTCACACTCTGCTCCCACAGGGCTCGTCCCCTGCCAGCCCCACGCCCTCGGTGCCCGCTGCAGAGCACAGGGGCTGCCACCAGACACGGCTCCAGCAGCCGCTGCCTCGAGTCCCAGGGGAGCTGAACGCACTGTTTGGGAACTGCTCACTTAACTGTTGCAGTGAAGCAATTCTGCCTAGCAGAAATGAGAATGGTATTCCCCCTGGACACTGCACTTGTGCCTTCTCTCAGCAAGCACAAACATATCTCACCCCCCTCAGCACCACCTGGCAGGACGTGGGCCCTCGTTCGTTCATGGTGGGAGATGCAGAGTGGGTGTGCATGAACACAGCACCACAAGCACACCCCCTTCCTTTCAGTGCATTTGTGAACACCCCTCTGCTCCTGCAAGGCCCAGTCCACCCTTCAAAATGAAAAAATAAACTTTCTTTTCCTGCCTCAAAGCTGTGGGGTTCCAGCAGGTGAGTGGAGACAGCCAGGCAGTCCCATTAAACAGTTTGAGGAGCCCAAGAAAACCAAACTGCTTCACTGCAGCCCAGAGCTGCCCCTACACATGCATATGTCAATCCAGAGAGCAGCAGTGCCAAAAGCAACCCTCTGCTTGGGACACAGCCCTCCACGGCCTGGGACACAGTCCTCCTCTGCCTGACCACACAGGCACTGGCAGAACAGGAGGCAAGAACAGATATCAACTCACGTGTATCGATGGTCTCCTGGATGGGAATGAAGCCCACAGGTAAAGTGTCCTTGATATCAATGAGCTTCATATCAACCAAGACATTGCCTAAATGACTCTTTGGAGAGAGAAAAGAAACACGTGATTATTACAAGGTCACCAGAATCAAACCCAGCTTTTCCCCCCTGCTGAACCACAAGATGCCTTGTCCAAGCACAGCTTTAAAAATGGTAAGAAGGTACCAAGCCAACCCTTGCAATGGTCCCTTCTGAAGGAACCAGACAACGATTGACTAGGAGATACCAGTCAACTTTCAGCATTCAAGATTTTAACACTTCATCCACTGCCATACTTCCAGATATTTGGAAGCACAACCAAATTCTCTGCCTTGGAAAACTGCAGTTCAAAGTACCACCTCCACCAACTCATCCACTGAGCAGGTCACCTCAGTTCTTAGACACTCTACACCTACAACAGCAACAGCAGAAAGCATCACAGGATGATGGCTCATGCAGACACAGCCAAAGTTATTACATGCATTAGCTAATTAGTACTGAACAGACATGGTTCTAGCTCCAAACAGCACACTCCAGAAGCACGGGCCATTTGGAATGAAGAACTTCATTTGGAGTCCATGTGAATTCTGAACTCATGCCTCATCCTATTAATCAAGGCTTGAAGAGCTCAGAGCACAATTCAAAGTGACAGCCTCGACAATGGTTTAGAGACCAGATTTTTTTTGCAGTTCTCATTAAAGCCAGCACTGCTGCCAACAATCTGGATTCACGTATGGAAGAAGAACACACTTTAGTTACTGCACAGCCCTTACAAACAGAAATGCAATACAGAACAACTAAAATTTCATCCCAAGCCATCAAACCATATCAGTGAGTTTTACTGTTACTGGCTGCTAAGTACCTCCTTTAGTTTTTATCTGGCAGAGTTTTTCAGGCAAACCTCTACTCTCTGATTATTCCACTGAACTATTTAAAAACATATTTAAATTTGCAGGCTCTGAAATAAGGGGAGATCGGGTCTGTGTTTATTTTTTGGACGTCCTGCATTTTATGGTCAACTCCTCAGCAGGAGGGCCAGCACATCTGCAGCCCTGTCCCACCAGGACATGTGGCACACGTCCTTTGCTCATGTAAAGAGGCCGAGGCAGGGCAGCCCCACACGCCTCTGACCCTCCCCGGCCAGGGCAGCTCAGAGCAAGCAATGCTGGATGCTGCCAAGCCTGAATGTGTCAGTTAACGTGGTCCTGGCACAGCAAATGGCAGATGAAGTGGTTGCTGCTGATTCATCTTTCATGTTTTATTTATCCAAGCTGTCTGGCTGTGTTACATCAGTGGCAACTTTCAGCTGAACCACCAATCACTCTTCCACTGGCAGCAGACAGGTAGGAGAGGTGCCTGCGAGGAGTTCATTAGCTACTGGAAATGTGGGAGTAAGCACTGATGCTCTGCCACGTGCACAGGAGAAAAGGGGACAAAGCCCCCTGCTCGTGAGACCCACCATCCAGGACCTCATCACCACGACTCTCAGATACAGCAACAGCCTTATAATCCTCAGATATTGTTAACTGTTGAGAATGATGACTCTTCTAAAGAGACACTGCAGACTGGCTCTGCCATAACCCAGGTAACTGAGGTGCATTAAGTCTGCTAACTACAACATGTTCTTCAGTTCCCAGTTCTTCAGAGTCCCCAGTGTTTTGGTAAACACAAAAAAAACCTGAATGTAAAACTTTCAACCCATCAATGCCCACAGGAGAAGGAGCCTCTCCCCTCCCCTCCTTCTGGATGAGGGAATCGAGGCCCTTTAACCCTCGGAGGTTTTCAACAGGGACTATATCATATTCCCTGTGGCCAGAGAGGGCTGAGTGGCAGGGAAGCTCTTGCTTTAATTCATGCCTTATCAATATGAGGAAGGTACTCTCAAATCACACCAAGCCCAGGGCTCCTGCCAAAAGCCCAAAAGGCACCAGCTGAGGATATTTACACTGTCTCTGCAGTCAGCAGCTGCTACTGTCCTGTAATTATTTCTGACAACATCACATTTCAGGTAGCCACAGATACACCTAATATTCATATCAGCAGAAACCTTTCTGTTTAATAACCTCCCTGCCTATTCTGGGGCTGTTATTCCTGTGACTGCATGTACTCCAGAATGAAAAGCACAATTATTGTCCATCTACTCCAGGAAGCGATACCTAGAGGCAGGCAGGGAAGCAGATGGAATAAAGGTCAAATGCTGGGAACGGGTAGCCCCAGGCTCTCCTGTCAGGACCCATGAGCAGCCTCTGAAGCTGCCGTCACTTTTCCCACTGTGGTGAAAGCACAAGTACAAAATGGTACCTCCAGCTCCTGACAACTGAGTCTCTGTGAATATCCAAACCACGACCAAAGGCAAGATTACCCACTAGATGGAGTGCATTCATTGCAGAAGTCAATAGTTCCCCCAGAAAAGAGAAAGTTTTCACACAAGCCTCAACCAAAACCACAGCAGAATGCATCAGGCCCTCCCTGCACAGCCTCCTCTCCTCCACAGAAGTGTGGGCAGACAACTGCCACTAATCACAAAATAACTTACGCTTAATAGTCACATCAGATTAAAACAACATAGCAGCATATGCACAATGTGGGCATATGCACATTTTCAAGAATCGGCAGCAAAAATAACAAAGAAAGCAAGTTAATCCTGCAAGAAAATATCCAGGATGGCCCAGGAGTCAGAAACTAACATTTCCTTCACCAACACTATCTCCAGGTTTTGTTTCTCAAGGTAATTTGGGTTAGAAATCCATCATGACCATGAATGTGGTGCCCACTGCTGCAGCAGGAAACATGAGTGTGAGGGGCTGCTGAAATGCAAACGTTCCCTTTTCTGCTGCTTTTATTGCGGATTTTGTCAGCAATTTCTTTCCATGAGGAACACAGACAAAATGCAAATATCCTGCCATTGCAGTTTGCCTCCTGACTCACCCAAACTCAGCGAAACGCCTGCTTGAATTATAATTGGTTCCATAAAATGAATCATCTTATGGGTAAGAGCATACCAGGCACAGATGCAAATCATGCAGATACTCAGCAAACAGACTTACATTTTCTTTTGAAAATGATCTGGTGAAGCACAGGTACCGTGTGACCTTGGATTTAAATAAGCCATCTTTCCAGAGGTCAGCATCCAAGCCATCTGCTGTTTGTGCAACCTGCAAAGAAGAGACAGAGGGAGAGAGGAGACGTGAGCTAAGATAAAGTTAATATATGTACAGTACTTCTTCCTCAGACCTCTCCTAATTAACAGCAGCTCGAACTCTCACAGCATCTCATTAGTTTCTTCACAAGGTGCAGCACAAAGAACTTCCAAGAGGAGGTATAAAAGGAAGTTCTAAAAATGCTGTCTCTCGGGAGCCCCTTGATTAAAGATGCTCTGACAAAGGCTACTCTAATGAGGAAACAGCAACTTGGGTTACAGTCTCCAAACAATAGTTTGGAAAAGTCAGCACATTGAGACTCTCATTACCACCCTACACACAAGGGCACACCAGGCACGCTGCGAGGGTCTGTGGAGACAGGGCACAGAAACTGCCCCATCTCAAGACAATTTTCACAGAAAGCCATCAAGGAATTCTGGCTTCAGGCCAAAAAGCTGCTTCCAGCAGATGAGGAAAGCCCCAGTCACTGGTGGATTTTAGCAGCAGTGAGGATGCACCCTGCAAACACCCATCTCAAATGCAACCTCACGTGCAGTCAAATGGAGAGCACACACCCCATGGAAGGAAAGGAAACAGGCACCGCACCCTCCACAGACCAGACAGCGGCACGAGCAGGAGGAGACCTCTGAGCTGATTCAAGGAGTGGGCAGGAGGCAGCACTGTGTGCTGGGAAAGGGATCTGCTCTCAGTAGCAGGGCACTCTCCCCACACAGCACAACCTGGTTAGAGCTCCAGTCCCAAAAGGTTTTTTGTCAAGTAAGAGAGGAGACAAGGCAGCAAACACAAGAAGGGCAGCAGAAACAAGATTACCCCACCAGACTAACCCCTGACCAATGTCTCCCAAGAGGAGACTCCAGCACGGTCTGAAGCTCTGCAGAAGCACAGCTTAACTTCTTCCTAATGTCTCTCAGATGGGGCAGACTGCTCCACTGCAGCTCTTCCAAGTCTAATCTTACCGAGTGAGCCCTTGGTGCCAGAGCAGCCCGATAACAAAGAGCTGACACTGGTTGCCACTGTTTGCACCCCTGTTTAGTTGAGTGGAGACTGCACAGGGCATAGGAAGCAAGAGCTGTGTGCTGACAAGGTCTCTGATTATCGCGAGTGCGGGACAGAGACGTGTGTTCACGGTCTGATCCAAGCAGGGAAGTGCACTGGCTGCTCCCCACATTTTGGCAGCTGCTTGTTTGCAAGCCCCAGCTCAGCTCAAGCCCTTGTACAACACACAGCTTTTGTATTCAGGCCTCTGCAAAGAAACATGCCTGATTTTTAAACAGTCACATTTTAGAATAGGATTTTGCTGGGATTTTTTTCCTTACTTGAATTCCTTGAATTCAGCTCTTTCCTGAAGTGCTAGTTTAGGAATATGTAAAATCCACATGCATCTCCCTCCCCTACAGGTAGAGTCAGTCCTGGTGAAAATATATTCAGAAAATAATCTGCTTGGGAAAACTGCTGGCATATAGGGATGGTCAGCTTGAACTCCAGCCCTTATGAGAAACAGTTTGAGGGACTAGATCTAGATTTCATCACTTTGTTCATTGGTATGGTTCAAGTTCTTTGTGCTAGCCAGTTTTGTTAAGATGCTCAAAAATCAACAAGCAGCAACAGATTCATGTGCAACTGCAAAACTGGTGCTACACAACTTGCTGTCAAATGAACTTTTTATCTAACTTCCGTAAGCTTGAGGAACTTCACATGACTTACAACAATACCACATTTTTGAGGTGGACATATATCACTTCAATTGATAACATCTTCTCTACCATTCACTGCTCAGGGCACAGCTAGATCACAGCTGTCCAAGGCATCTGAAGGGCCCCTGCACTGGCACTGTTAACCCTCTGGAGAGGCCTGGCACTGTCACAGTCCAAATTAACGATAAATAAACCTAAAAACCTCCAACCCACACCACACCTGTTTTTAGGAACAGCCCTGACATTCTAACCCATCAAATATCTAATTCTAGTTGTTGAAATGCAACAGTCACAGGCGACATCCCCAGCAATGAACCCTGAGTGCTCTGCTCTGCCTCATCCTGCTGAAGACTTTTTCCAAGCCTGGAGAATGCAAACATGCACGAACTTGTCAGAAAACTCATGGGGAGAGAAAACAGAGCAATATAAACAGGAAACTTCTTGCATCAGCTGCTGGGCTCCCACAAGCGAGGAGGATGCCCTGCACCCCTGGAAGCAGTGCCATGGCTGGGCAGCGTGCCCTTGGGACAGGATCCATGCCTGAGCAGTGTGCCCTTGGGACAGGATCCATGCCTGAGCAGTGTGCCCTTGGTTCAGGAGCCATGCCTGAGCAGTGTGCCCTTGGTTCAGGAGCCATGCCTGAGCAGTGTGCCCTTGGTTCAGGAGCCATGCCTGAGCAGTGTGCCCTTGGGACAGGAGCCATCCTGAGCAGTGTGCCCTGGGGACAGGAGGCCCATGCCCTGAGCAGTGTGCGCCCTTGGTTCAGGAGCCATGCCTGAGCAGTGTGCCCTTGGTTCAGGAGCCATGCCTGAGCAGTGTGCCCTTGGGACAGGAGCCATGCCTGAGCAGTGTGCCCTTGGGACAGGAGCCATGCCTGAGCAGTGTGCCCTTGGGACAGGAGCCATGCCTGAGCAGTGAGCCCTTGGGACAGGAGCCATGCCTGAGCAGTGTGCCCTTGGGACAGGAGCCGAGGGCAGAGACTGGGCAGCAGGACAGGCACTCGGCAGCCCCAGCTCGCCCAGTCCTGCCTTGGCTCAGAGGCAAGGAACGTGTGAGACGGACCACACGGCACCCAGCACCGGGCACACGGCACCCAGCACCGGGCACACGGCACCCAGCACCGGGCACACGGCGCACCAGGCACACGAAACAGTCCTTCTCCTCAGGGAGCTGAGGGAAGTCACTCCTTACCCACGTGCTACAAACAGATGGACCTGACAGAGTGACACACAGTAAGGAAGCTGCTCCCAGCCCACCCCCTCCAAGTGCAGGGTGATCTACCTGCTGCACAGAGTCAGAATAGGTTACTGCTACCCCAGTCAGGCCTTTGGAAAGCAGGCCCTCTAAACCTCCTACCCCACAGGGTGATATGCTGCTCCAGTGGAGTCAGGGCTGTTCCTGCTCCCACACAGCCCCGGGTGAGCAGCTCACTCGGGAGCTGCCCCACAGCAAACCCCACCATGGAGCTGGTGTTCAGCCTGAAGCAAAGAACACAGGAACCACACCTCTCTCCTACCCCAGGCTCCTGCCTCCCACCTCTCCTCCCCACCCAGACAGTCTTGCCAGTCTGGTCAGGTTTTCAGGAATCTAAGTTCAGGCACACTCTGTACATTTTGGCAAAATCAAGTCTTTGGTCCTTCAGCTGTAAAAAGGCCTGGCCAGTCATTCAAAGAGCCAGTAACACATTTGATTTTTAAACAGACACAAAGGCAATGGAGACTACAGAGTAATTAAAAAACTACTGGGGGAAAAAGACCTCTGGCCCATTTGCCAAGACACTCCCAGGTCCGGTACTCTGGGCACTGCTGGCTCCAGCCCTGGGGCTCCATGCAACCTGGAAAACAGACCCAGACATCCCCAGGCATTTAACTTACTGGAGGTTTAACCTCTGCAGGTTTCTTCTAAAGAGGAGCAAAGGGAAGAGGAAGGAAAATAATTTGGCCATGGTTGTTTATTGGAGAAAGGATACAAATGAAAGAGGAACTGGGTAAAGCCTATAAATAAAACAGATATCTCTCTGTACCCAGAGAGAGCTGGGTACTTCACTGTCCCAAAACTTGGAACCATCAGTGAAACTACACGATGTCAAATTAATCACTCCTAAGAGGAAATACTTTCCCACGCCATTCTGAATCCACCTGTGGAACTGAATGCTGCAGGATGCTGTAGTGACAGGCAAAGCCAGTGGATTCCTAAGGAAACTACAACAACATCCCAAGACACACTGTTATTGATGTTTCCCAAGAGATGAGAGCGATTCTCCTTTCCAGGGTGCAGTGTGCACCTCTAACTATGAGGGCTTTAGGGAGCACACTCCCGGGGTGGAGCTGCCACAGCTGCCTTCCTCAAGGCTTTCCACCCTAGAGCAGCAATCAGCTGTCGGTGTCTCATCAGGGAAATTGCGTATCTGGAGAAACACAAAGCCCAAGTTCGCCAAGGTCTGCACGTTGCTCACATCTCAGAACACAATTTCTCTGCTACACTGAGCACAGTACTTGTGCACACTCAGCTTCACACCTTCAGCTGGGCCAGACCGGGTTCCAGAGAGGTCATGGGGAAGTGGCAACCCCGCATACCACACACTGCTCCAGTGCCCTGGCTCACAAACGAGCCACCTTCACAGACACCCAGGCAAGAAAAGCACAGCCCTGCATGTCACTGTCCTGTCACACCAGGGTGGCACCGAGCGTGGCCCTGTGACAGCAGGTGTTGCACAGGGACAGGACACCGAGGGTGGCTGGCAGCACCCAGGCAGCTGTGCTCATGGAAAGACTGCAGGCAGCAGGCACTGCCCCCAGGCCTGCTCCAGGGGCACAGAGTGCTCCTTGGGAACAGAGAGGGAGGCAGCAGGACCGGAGCAAAGGCAGCTCCTCGCTGTGCCCCGAGGAGAGAGCGACCCACATTCACCAGCATTATTACACCACCACCATAATTGGATTAAGCCACAGGAACATTCTTTTATCTTGTTTAGTTTAGCACTGCAGCTCCCCATTAAGCCACAGACAGGCTATCTGGGGTGAGCGCTCTCTCTGCCCAGCCACTTAGGCAAAATGCAATTCTGTTATCACAACTCTCACACTGTCCCATGCTCCTTTATCAGGGCAAGCAGCTAATTACACAGTCTGGCTCACACAGGTAATGAGCAGTCAGAAAAATACAGAAAATGCAAAAAACCTCCCAGGTCTTTAAGGCACCTTTTCACAATTCCCCCCCTTCTTCCCACAGCCCATGTCCAGTCACACCAGCCTGATCCATTTTCTTCCTTCACACTGAACAAGGTATGCAATGATCCAGCACTGAAGAGCTGTGAGCAAAGCCTCAAGACAGCTGGTTTCCACTCCCACCATGCAAGCTGTGCAGCTCTAGATACCCAAGGTGTGATGTAGCACAGTTGGAGCAGAACACATAGAAAGGCAAACAGGCTAAATCTTTCTCTATAGACCTGTGCAAGGTCAGCATTTTCTGGTATTTCACAGTTTGGGACACTAATCTATGGGGAGAAATACCCTGCTGTTGGTTACACAGCAACTAATCCAAAGAACAGGCAGCTGTTAAACAGTGACCTCCCTTTATCCACACACATTCATCTCTTCTGTATCCAGCCGCCTTTTCCTGCTGCCAGTCTCCTGCCAAGCCTTAGTTTAGAGGTTTGCATTCTGCCCATCAAAATCATCCTTGCAATTTCATCTGGATGCAAAACTCTTTGCTTCCCATTCTGGAGCTTCTCATCATCATTGTGCAGTGTTGATATTTGGGATTAAACAGCTGATGAGGGATCCATTTATGCAGAGATATAATTTGTGCAATACTTAGGACTCCTTCAGGATGAATATTACCGGGATTATTAAATTTGCATGCCACAGTGGCCAGCTGTTTCTGAAAATCCCTCCTCCAGGTAATTAAGCTCCTCTGGAGTGGTAGAGGAGTGCACAATTGCACCCACAACCCTCCACTGAGGGAAAGCACTAAGTGCTGTGGGCTGAAAGGTGGGCAGCTGGCTACCAAATGACTTCTCACAGCACCATCTGAAGTCAAGCTCTCTCTGGAAGAGATGCTGTTTCCCAGCAAAGCAAAGCCTTGTCAGTGCAGAAACAAGCATTAGCAGCTCAAACAGCTCTACTTACTACATCATATCCAGTCGGTGCTCGGCTCCGGGATGCGACCACACCAACACCTGTGATGGGATCCATCGGCAGCTCGGGCAAGGCATCAGAGAGGTCTCGCACCTCAGGCATTATGGACTGATTCTGGAAGAAAGGAGCAGAATTAAAGGGCTGCTGGGCAGCACACCCTGGCAGAAGCCAGAGCACCAACAGCCCACATGCATGCCACAGTGCCTGTGCTGACACACCAGACGGCCAAGGTGAACACAGGATTAGGCCAGACACACCTTCTGCACTTTCATTTGCTTTTGATAAGAGGGTACATTTGTGCAATGCCAAATAGTTTGGGAATTTGGGCTGGCAGCCTCTGAGACTCATTTTGTTGCTTCCATGGGCTGGTCTCCATCTAGCAATGATGGGAAAACCCAATACCTTCCCTTCCAAGCAGAGAACAAATTTCAACCCCAAGGCGGGCTGGTTGAAGCAGTTCTGTCATTTTAAGCAGAAAGAATTCTGCTCCTAATGGCTTCAGAGGGAGGCTTTTCATCCACTACGGGTGTTAAGACATGCTGTGGGTTCCCCCACAAGTCTTCAGTCCCATCACACCCCCCAGAGCCAGACCATTTTCACAGAGCAGCACAGATGTCTCTGGCGCTGGATGCAGAACCGCAGTGGCCGCAGGGAGCTTCAACACCAGGAAACACAGAGGAAGCACAGGGTGGGCTGGTGCAAAGCAGACAGAGGCCTTGAGGAGGCCTGAGCATCTTCCAAAAGGGACACATCACCAAGAACGTCAGGGGAGGGAGATACGCAAAGGGGACAAAAGCAGATAAGACCAACCAATTTCGGAGAGATGCTGTTGCAGGAAGCAGGAGGAGAGGACAAGAGAGGTGCTGAAACAAGTCGCTGAGGAGGAGGATGGGAAAAGGTGCCACTGCCTCAGCATGTGGTCTCCTGCAGAGGCAGCCAGTTAGGACAAGTCTTCTCTGGCTTTCAGACAGGAATGCCCCAGGAAACCGCCCCCCACGCACCCTGAGATAAAAGGGCAGTGCTTTGAGTAAACAAGCATCACCGCTGCGCAGCCAGACAAGCCGTGAACCAGCACTGCCTAATTCAATTCCCTCATCAGAGCAATCAAACCCCAGCGTTTCTGGGCCATGTAGAAGGCTGGTTACTTACTGCTTCTAGAAAAGGCAGAGGTGAGTGCTGGTGCCAGTGGGACCTGGGTTTACACTTCACAGTGCCCAGTCTGAGCAAACATCGTGCTGCAGGCAATAAGAAAGAGCAAGTCTGGGCCCTATGTAAATAATAACAATGTCACATGAACAGCCAGTCTACTTGAGAAGTCCAAAACAACAGACACTAGTGACCAGTAATGATGCAAACGCTATTGCTGAACCAAACAGAGAGGAGAGCTCTGCTTTGGTACCTGGACACCCATCCAGCATACACAGAGCAAAGCAAACCTTCTTTGTCCCCGACACAGCCCAAGGCTCCAAAGCATGACAGGAAGCGCAGCCTGAGCTGCAGGGGTTCACCCTCCTCTCCCAGCAGGCTCCCTGTCCTCAGGGCGGGCAAGGAGCACAGGACCCCACTGCAGGAACGCTGGAGGCACTGGCACAGCCCCAACAGACCCCACACTGCTGCCTGCGCTGCCCCACCGGCTCATCCGGATGCCTTGCAAATAATCCAGAGGCCATTGCCTAAAACGTGCAGCACGGAAAAAACACATATGAATTTAACAGAGATTACAATCTGTTCTTCATGCACGTTTTCTGAAACTTTTCCAAGCCACTCTCAATAGCAGGATGACTTGTTACTACACATCGGGAGGAGCTGGGAGATAATGAATGCTGATGCAAGCTTCTCTTAGGCCATTTTGAAGCAAAATTCAGGTAAGTGACGATATTCCCCAGCATGCTAAGAACACCGCACAGCAGGTTCCAACATGACTGCAGCTACATTGCAGGGAAGCAGATCTGCTCCCCCAGCCTCCACCAAACCCACCCTGATGAAGTGCTGGCTTGCTCCACAAAGGCAGGGGAGCAGGCGTAGCCAGATGGCACAGACATGTCACCTTGGGGAGGGAAGCAGAGGGTCTGTGTACCACCCTCTCAGGCCCTGGGAGAGCTCATGCAGGCAGAGCCCCGGCATTGCCTCCTCGTTCCCAGCAGTGATGGCATGAATGAGGCTAATGTGTGCCGGGGACCTGCTGCTGAATGCTGCCCAGGTCCCATTTCACCATCGTGGGGCCTGCTGCAGGGAGTCCCAGCTGCCCTGGCAGGAACACAAGCAGCAGTCGGGTCAGCCCGCACAAGGCTGAGGACAAGGCCCTGGGCATCCATGGCACCAGTGCGGAAAGGCTGGTGGGGGGCCCTACCAACAGCACGGTGCTGCAGAGCAGCCCCCTCTGCCTGCCAGCACCTCATCCTCGGTGAAGAAGGGCACCTTTGTGGGAGCCATTTTCGGCTCCACTCAGCACAGAAGGGGGAGGGGAAACGGCATCAATCCTCACTTTGTGACAGCTCACACAAAGCCCTCTGTGGTGGCAGCGCTGGGCACTTTCGCCTCGCCAGGGCGGAAGCCTCAGGGTGACGTGCTGTGGCACCGGCAAAAGGCCCCCAGCAGCACCCGCTGCAGCGAGGGCCGGCCGAGCTGCCCGCACCCAGCGAGCCCAGCACCTTCCTCTGCCTGGTGCTCAGACCACAGCCCCTGCCCACAGCCGGCAGGGACAGCAGACAGAGCACCTGCCCAGCAAACCTGCTGGGGCCACCACAGCACGGGCAGGCTCTGCCACACCAGGCCAGCCTCCCACCACATGGGTGGCACTGAGGATGCATCTGGAACAGATATGGAGCAGCACCAATCAGTTTGCACACTGGGATAAATGTTTTTGTGAACTCTGTGCAGGTCAGAGGGGAGTCTCTGGCTCAGCAATCACACAGATGATTAGTTGCAGTGCACTTCTCCCCCAGGGCGCCAAAGTTTGGTTTCTTTTCTATCATGCCTTTGAACTTAAAAAATCAACAAAAAGAAACAAACAGTGAAAGATGAGATTAAATTAAGGAGCAGGATTCTAGAAATTGTTATTTTAATGAAGTTCTCTTTAAACAAGGTGAGTTTGACCTGTACGCCCACCTACCATCACCATGGCTGACCACCCAGCCCACCAGACAGCCCATCCCCACCCGCACTAAGCTGTGTGTGCTGGGCTCTGCTCGAGGGCCTGCGCGCACTGCTCGCTGCAAGGTTATTCTGGGAACAGCCCAAAACAGTAAGAACATTTTTCCCATTATTTGGGAGCATGCTCCCTGGAGGTCATTCTGAGCTGTGGGGCCACATCCAGTCTTCAGCATGCCCTGGCAGCCGGATGCAAGCTCTGGGGCAGGAAGAAGTTTCAAAACACTGTGGGGCCGCTTGGACAAAGCTAGCAGGGAAAGGATGTGCCTCCACCAGAGAAAGTGTCCATGCACACTACCAGCACCAGCCCCAAGCAGCATGCAGCAGAGCTGCTTAGGATGGCTGCAGGATGAGATGCACTCTTGGCAAGCAGCCTCGCCTGCTGGCTCCATCCCAAATGCTTCCCGCCCCCTTGAACCGGCCGTACCACGGGGCAGGAGGCATGGGGTCCCAGGGTGTAGGAGAGGCCTTCAAGGACTCTGCCAGGCTGTGCTACAGCCTTCTTCCCACAGCCCACATCCACAGTCACACACACCTCCCCTTCTCCCACCACCCCCAAGTTTGTCTGTTTACATCCTCTTCACTTGCTCTCTCCCATTTTCTTGCTAGTTCATCTGCCTTTATTAGTTTATCCCAGGCATACTTTTCTGCTGGCTCCACTGAGGTGACTGACCACACACACTGCTGGGCTTTGGCTGGGACACATACACAAGAACATGCCTTCAGAAATGAATGCATTATTGTGAGTTTCTAGAGCATATTTTGCTCTCATTATTCCTTTTCGACAAGTTAAAGAGCTGGTGGGTACATGATCATATCAGGCCTTTGGATGTATTTGCTACAGAAACATCACACTGCCAGCACAGCAGGTCAAGCTCTGAAGTTAAATAGTCAGGACTTGGAGGGAGAATGGTCTTATTGTTTCTTCCTCCAACTACAAGCCCTGCACTTTGACACTGACTTACTCTTCCCACAGGCCGAAAAGTATGAGCTAAGGCAAAACTGGGAAAAAAATTATCAACTAGCTTGCTGAGGCCCTGCAGTCTGTGGGAAGTGGTCCCATCAAACCAAAGCAGACACTCTGCTTAAACCCTTGCCCGTCTGCTCGGCCTGTCACTCCATCCCTCTGCAAAGCGGGGATACTGCTGGCACAAGGCTCTGCTCCGGAGTCACACCGCCCCGCTCCCCTGGGCCTCCACCACGTCCGGGAACAGGACAAAGCCCCAGCCAACTTTCTATTTCTGTTCATGGAATAGGACACAGTTTCAGAAAAACAGGAGCACACAGTGCAACTGAGGGGTCAGGGCCCTGAAGGCCACCATCACAAACGGGCAGAACTTCAGTGTCACGTTTTGCCCCATCGAAGGCATGTCTGGAATCACCCCCATGCCCAGGCTCCCATAAGAGACACCTGCCCAGCATCAGCCACAAAACCTACACATTGAGACTGAATAGGATGGAAACAGGAACTGAAGTCACAGTATGAGCAAAACTGAGACCCTGTATTGCTTCACAGCACTTCTAACTATGGACGCACATCTGTGAAGAGTGTTTCCATACACAGATGACCTTGCATCAGGGCAGCAAAACATAAGTGACATTCAGTTCAGTTATTTCTATCTTGGCACAGATATGAACCTGGGGACTACAGGCACCCTTGAGCCTGGGATTCGCTTTGTCAGGGCAGCACACAGTACGAGAGTGAGACGTGTGCTTTATTTCACACCTCCAGAAGCTCAGGCTTAGCCTTCAGCTAGTAGGTAAGGCCATCTCAGCTAACAATGACAGGGATGACACAGTCAACCTACCACACAACACACAGACTCCCTAAAGTACAGGTGAGCATGTTCTCACACAGTTAAAATAAAACACAAGATGGAGAAACCCAAGCTTTAGCCCGAGCAGCTGCACACCTCCTGACGCCCGGCCTGTCGGGTTTCAGCGTTACTGTGACCAAGCCAAGAATGCCCCGTTCCTCTGGGAACGCACAGAAAACACCAAAGCTTGGTGGACTTTTGAAAACCTCTCCAGAAACTTCTGACTGAGCTCGCAATCCTTGATGATGCAGGCAGTGAGAACGTAAGACAAAGGCAGCTCTGTGTCGCTGCTCCAGCCAGCGCTGTACAGCGTGAGCCTGTATCGCACCTCCAGCCACGCACCGAGCACAGGTGAGAAAAGGGCAGTCGGGCGGACCCACGCTGCAAACACTTGTAGCAGAAGACCACGCAAAACACAGGGGACTTTGTTATCTTCTCTAACTGTCACCAGTAAGAATTTACATTAAATTCTAGAGCAGGTCAAGGTCACCGGCTCTGCCCCACGGCTGGTCGCCGACGCCGTTCCTGCAGCCGACCCAGCTCCGGCGGAGCCGCGGGTCTCACGGAGGCCACCGGGGTGCTCCGGCCGGGCGCGGGGGTTCCCCGCGAAGGCCCCGGCCCGCAGCCCTCGGCCCGGGCGCTCCCACGCGGCCCTGCACCGCTCCGGCAGGGGCTCGGCCCCGCCCCCCGGGCCGAGTGAAGCGCCCGGCCGCTTCGTCCCCCCACGGCGACCCGCAGGAACCGCGACCGCCCGCGGCCCGGCCCCGGGAGCGACGGCCGCGCCGCGGGGGCCGCGGCGGGCGCGGGGAACACTTAATGTTGCCCGTGCGGCGGGCGGCGGGTCGCGGCTTCCCCCGGCGGCAGGCAGAAGCAGCTTCCTCATCGCCCGGCGGGCCGGCGCGGGCGCGGCCACGGCGGGAGAGCGGCGGCGGCGGGGGAGCGGCCTGCGGCGCCCTGGGCGGATGCGGCGGGGCGGGGAGCGGAGCCGAGCGGGCCGGCGGCCAGCCGCGGGCGGCCCCGGCTCTCGGCGCGCCTCGGGACTTCCCCCCCTCCACCGCGCCGCTCCGCGCCACCGCGGCCGCGACCGGGCGCGCAGGGCCCAGAGCCCGCCCGCCCGGCCCCCGCCCGCCCCCCGCCCGGAGCCCCG